TTTGAGATGTGTTATAAGTATGGAAAATATCTTATCTAACAACATATTTCGTTTTTTCATTATTCATTGTTTTATAAATAAGTAAAGAAAAGTGTTCAGAATCGGTCATTTGAATTGCATTGTAGTTTAAGGGTACTTTCTTCCTTCTTTTGGACTACTTCTGGTTCTTCGCAATAGTATTATCGATTGCACTCTCGTGGAGAGCCAAACGTGGTTCAAAAGACTAGAGGTACCCTTAAGCATACTCTCACACTTTAAATTTGATGCATATTATATAAACTGAGTGTAAGAATGTATCCAAAATTCAAGAATCGTACGATAAATGAAAAGAGATAAGCAAAAGTAGCTCTGTACACTTCATATGATAGATGCGTATCTGACGATAATAGAAGTGAAAGAAAGTGAATAGGTACAAATCAACGAAAACAGAAGAAAGCCATACAATAGGCGACAAATTTCAAGGAATCCATCGAAGATTAAATATACTATAGAACGAGATGATATCGGATATTTTTTTTTTCATAAATGATATGTACCTCACTCACAACTAAATGATTATCCCAAGTCAACCTAACACATCAGAGATTAATAAAAATTTCTCAATCTATAATAACAAATATTATCCTAAACGACAATAGAATTAAGAAAGTTCACTTTTTAATCCACAACAGTGAGAATTATTCACTATTCTGTATATTCCATTTTTCATATTGTAATTGAAAACAGCTATCGAATGTACATCCATCCTATTATGGATAGCACTTCTAAAGAAAGACTAATTATATTAAGAGAGACCGACTAGAATTCTCTACTGCACACAAGACAGACAAAGAGAATCGAACATTTTTTTTTCAAACGGATAAACCTATAAATCTATCCATTACTGTATGTTAGCAATAGAAGTTGAAAAATGGGCATCACAATGATTGTTCATCAACAATCACAACAAAGGTTATTTTGAGGGTTAGTGAGTGAGGTTATTTTCTTTACCAACACCTATCTGACACTTTCAAATACACAATTGCATTTAGATTTACCAATTTTAATATCAAAATTGATCTGCATTCAAGATGATGGACATTGATCTGATGATTGAGCACATACCTTGCATTACAAACTCTTTATTCAATTATTTTTTTGTGTTTTGATTGAACAATTCAATCATCAGCGGATCACAAGAACGAAATATTTTTCTGGTGCAGAGTAAATCTGATTTCTTCTAATTACATAACGTATGGTGAATATCGGAATGCGTCAATATAAAGGAAGTCACATCTATTCTGTCAATGGACAAGTGCGTACAAGTTTTGAATACATACTTTGCTCTCGCCGTAGCACTTAAAGAGTTACCAGAAAATTATACTAGACATCAATTATTTTAACCAATGAATTTTTCCTCGAATATTACAAGCAAAATGACTTTTCATCATATTATCAATCGAAAGTTTTTCGATCTCGAAATGATAGATCGGAACAGAAATTGAACAAAACAGTTTCCTATCGGAATGATGAACCTTAAATGATCAACAAAACAATCTCTTTCATAATCGAATCGTTTGTGAACATCGCTATTTGTCCTTTATTATGCGTAGAAACATATTGTGTCTCGAAAGCATTGCTGTTCAAACATTGTTTCAACTGAAGATAAGACAAAATATAGCCGACAAAAAACAAATTCAACGTCATTTCATGCTAAAAATACACTAAACACATGAATTCGATAAATTATTTAGTCTTAATGATGTTACAAAGAAAGCTCTTTGGAATTACTTTTTCAACGAAATTTGCATAGAATTTGTCTAAGTAAAAGTTAAGTCAAAGGACATAAGTTTTGTATCTTTGTCGTCACAAAAGGAAAGCTTCCATGGTAGATTCGATCCACTATGTTGTACAAATTCTTTCTTAACTCGTGCAGCATTCGTACGCGACATGGTATCATCGACATCTTCGTATTCGACGTGGAATCTTTTCATCGTTAATGGTAAATATTTCTTCAGCAAATCATGCCATTGTGTACCATCAAGAAACGGGGGTTGTCTTCTCGGTATCGGATTTTTCACAGGAGAACGTACGCAAGAGAATAAGCTCAGAGTCAATAAAGTTTTGGGAGTTACGAGTTGGAGTAATTTTTCCATATTTTCCAATATCACCAATGAATACTGATACACTTTGATGTGACGAAGTGTAACAGGATATTCCATGAATGTTTTCTCTCTTAATTGACTTCGATAATATTCAACGCTTTGTGATGGTCCCACTCGTCTCGTAGGTCTTCCTGCATTGCTATACATGTACATTGTGAACACGTTTAATTTTTGAAATCGATAAAGTAATGGTATTATACGTTGAACATTGAAAAGCCAAATTGTTAAACTTACGATAGTATTATTAACCACAGTTGAAGGGATGTAAGTTATCGAATCAATTCCTTGTGAGCATTCTAATGTTAAATATTTTAATGATGCTATTTCTGTCAGTAGATATCCGAATGATTGAGAAGCACGCTCACCAACTCCGGTGTATGTCATATCGCTGAACCTAATCTTTAAACTTATTAATTGATCTTTGACATTACTCAATATCACAGGTATTCGATTTTCGAATTCGCAAAGTGGCACATCGAGTAAAGAAAGTGATCTAAATCGTTTTTCACTAGATGAACTAGAAAATGTTTCTAATAAAGCAACATTTTCATATAATAATGTAACCGAAATGATATTTTGTTCACAGAATGTTTGCGGGAATATTCGAAAAAATTTTGTTTTGGTTCGAGATAAATCCAAATGAATATTGGGTGTGTTGCAGACAAGCTGATTTAATCGACTATTGAGACCATAGAAAGATTTGAAAATTTCATTGCCCGTTAGATAATCAAAAATATCGAAGAAAATTTCGGACGACAGTTGTTCAAGCGTTGTTACTGTATGTACATAACTGCGGCGGGCTAAACGTCTCTTCTTTAAATCTGCCATTTTATTCTGTGGTCGCACGCATCATACAATGCGAAAAAAATGCTCTTTTTATTCTTTCTTAGCAAAGTACAACAGAAATTTAAACTGAAAGAGCATTAATCAATATCAATAAATAAAAGTGAATACCAACGTTTCTATTCGTACTGTCACACTTGTAATCCAATTCTTCTCTCCACTTCAACAGTTCTCCAACAAGAAGCGTGTTGTTTGTTTACTTACACGATGAATTTCTTCGTGAAAGATCTCATCAAGTTTGTGCAACATAAAAAATAAATTGATTAGAAGAAACGAACATTGCTACACCTAGAAAAATAACTCCCATTATCAATTGAAAGGAAAACGAGAATTGTTGAACATTGCTAAATAGTCAAAACAGGATTCGCTGTCTACAGTTTTGGTTAATTAGATGTATTAGATCGAAATAACAGTATGAGACTGAGACTTGATCTGTTCTGCATTGACAACGACTCTTTGTGTGATGGTTCATCAATATCATTGCTTGCACCACACAAATCTATCAAAAGATTCTAGTCGTATTCCTGAGAAAAAGCGCATTATGAAAAATAGACCTTTAATCTCCGCATAAACACAACACACATGTCAAGATCAGTCAAAGCTTCCAGAATTCAGCATGAATATTCATCAACTGCACGCTTTCTTCCAAGCATCCCAGTGTTGAACAATCGTTCAGAAAGCCTACAGTCATACAAGGTTTGAAGTTACACTTCATTTATTTCTTGCAGTCTCCTTCTAAGAGTAAAGATAACTCCAAGGACATTGTTTACTTGATGAGTTCTTAATTGTGTATGTGTTTGTTTCGTGCATTGTGCAGCACATATTCAAATGAAATGGATAAAACATGAGAAAGAAGCCTTCGTAATGCCATAAACGAAACAATATTTCAACAGTCAACGCTCGTATAGGTATCTACTACGTAACTAGTTTCGCACAATTAGATGGCGACAAGCAATGTCTTCTTGCTATAATGTTTCATGAATCTCGTGCAACACAAAATATTACATTAGCACATAAGTTCTGAGCGTTTTTTTTTCTGGTTCAACAACAACTTTATTTTTCAACAAAGATATGCAACATGAATCAATAATATAATCGCCATTGTTTTCGACAACCTTAGTCCATCTTGCTGGCAATAGTTCAATTCCACATTTATAAAAACTAGCCGATTGTAATTCGAAAAAGGCAGTGAGGTCAGACTTTAGTTCATTGAAGTCTTCATAGTGTTTGTGGCACAGATGGTGATGAAGAGATCGGAATAGATAATAGTCGGATGACGCAAGGTCTAGTCACCAGGATGGGTGCGCAAGAACCTCTCATCCAAACTGTTTAATTTTTTGCTGAATCAACTTTGCTACATGGGATCGGCTGTCGTCATAGAGAAGGACAACGCCTTTTTGATTCCCCAAAACAGGTCGCTTTTGAAGTAGAACTTCATTCAATGCAACTATACTGCTGATTGATGTCGCATATTCTTGTCGAAAAACAAAGTTGTTGTTGCACCAGAAAAAAGAAACAAAAACAAAAAAAACGCTCAGGACTTATGTGCCAATGTATTAGTTTCATAAGTGCAAGTTGTTTAAAATATTTTTTGAAAAAAAAAACAAGAACTACTATGTAAAACGAATCAACTTCAAAGTCTTCTTACAATACTATGATTAAATAAATGTATACCATATAATCTAGTTAGGTTTTCAATATAACGAAACAAACTTTTTGAAATAAATTATTGTAAATAATGAAATTAAGAAACATATTTCAGACGATTGTGCACACGTTAAATATAACTTTCGAAGAGTTTTTTCATATTCACATTGTTTTCAATGTCTTCAAGATTATACAAGAATATTGTAAAGTATAATCTCTTTCTCTTTTTTTTAAATTGCAGTCCTCTCTAGTAATAACAAAAATTGAATTTTTGTTTATTTTAACTTTAGTAAATAACAAATTATTGTTATGTGTTAATATTTATTTCCTCTTTTTTTTTAAATAAAATACAAAACATTATATAATTTATGATGGTGAGATATTTTCATTTTCAAGACTTGCTGATGCGTTGAGATTTTTTCTTTCGTCGGGTGGCTGTTCAATATTTGATCTAAAAATTCATTCAAACATTAATTTACATGAAGAAAAACTAGTAATAAAAACATACTCATATAGAATATTTCCTAAAGATTTCAGTTTGGAATGTTTAAGTAAATCCGCATGTTCCTCAAGAATTTGTTTTCCAGCTCGACCTTCTATTTAAAAAAAAATATCAATTATAAAATCTAACAAATCTATTTCCATTTTCTTACCACGATCTATACCATCATAGTTTTTTCGTAAATTATATTCTTTATGAATTTTTTCATTCAAAGGTTCTTTTAGTTCTTCAATCAATTGGGTAAAATAAAAGAATGCAGCTATATCTAGATAACATTCAAATGATTGAAACTTGTTTTTAATAAACAAAAAAACAAGAGAAAAGAACGCATCTCCTTACCGGCTAATTTCGTCATTAAAACAAAACCTTGTAAATTATTCCAATGTGAATGACGTTCAGCTCGATGAAAAAATCTTGAAACAAAACGTTCATCAGCTGTATAAGCAATATTTTCAATTGCAGTATGAAATTCAAGCTCGTTCATCATATCAAAATTTTGTGTTAATTGAACTGAAAGTTTATACTGCATCTAGAAAAATGTACAACATATATAAACAGGATGTGTCATGAGTTTTTAATCTTCGACAGAATTTCTTTATTAACAGACAGAGAATGATCCCTAGTTAAATTTATCTATATGAGTTTTGAGTACTCGTGTCGACTTTTGAAATAACATAATATTCGATGATAATATCTTCTCTTATAAAATATAGCCATATGAACATAAGTATATTATGGTCATTTTTTTTAGATTTTTTAAAGAAGTGACAAATATATTTGATATTTGAAAAAATAACATACGATAAAATCTCACTATTGTGAACACAATCAAGACCATTAAGAACGTTCACTATACGAAGACGTTTAGTTTAGACAGTGGATGTATGGTTTATTGTCAAATGAAAAAACTGTTCCAGAATAACTCCTTGGATCCTTTCCTGGTTATCTATGCTTTTGTTTATCTGTTTTTATCTAAATACCTTGAATTGAAACATTTTCCAACTAGAACTTAAAATTTTGTTTTTTTTAACATCCTTTACTACTATTTGTCTTTGTGTTTTTTGAAGTAATATCCATGGCAATTAAGTTTGATTGAAACTCAATGTACATATTCGCAGTTTATAAGAGTCAAATGATAGTCATTAAAAAGAGGTCAAAAAAAAACGTTACACGTGTGTTCAAAGTAAAGGGACTACAATAGTAAGAGGAACCACGAAAAGTATTCATTGTTCAGAATAAGAAGATATGCACTAGTAAAGGTTTTATTGTAGTAGGAACCAGTAGGTAGCTGTTGTAATCGTTTATTTAAGACATATCATGAACCAATAGTCACATGATGAGTCAAACTCTATGCTAAATAAATGATTTAGAATGCTCAAAAATATATGAATACTAGATATAGACAAGATGGTCCCAATCTCAACAAAACCGTGACTAAAAACGATTAGTTCGACCCACGTCTAATGAATACACTACGTGCAGAGAGAGAAAACAAAGATTGTTTCACGATCTATTGATAAGTTCTGAAATGCTCAAAATTTATTTCAACATGATTCGATTGAACAAAAATTGGAGAACAATAACATTTGTTGATTGCAAAATAATGATCGTGAAAATTTCTAAAAGATTTCGAGAACTAATAAAAAGTTGTGAAGAATAAATATGTTGTTTTGGTTGATTTCGAAAAAATGATCATCACATTCTTATGTTTCTATTTACTATTATTCGAAAAAAGAAGATGTCATTCAATATTATATTATTTCAAATGTTGATACGAGTATTCAAATTTCATATAGATACGTATAGTTTAAAATCATTTCCTATCTGTATATAAGAAAATTTTGTCAAGATTCAAAACTTTTGAAATATTCTTTATAAATTCATTTTGTATTTAAAAATAATATTTACTTCTTGAAGTAGTGGTTCTTTGCCTTTAAGTAATAATGTTATAATAAATTCAATAACAAGAGATCGACTTATTTTATTTTCTGTATATGATATAAAATCAATAACAACTGTATCCAATCCTTCATCCTAATTTAAATTAAATTAAATTTATAAAATACGATTGAATATATTTAAAAACTTACATCAAGAAATGGATAAATAGTATTAAAAAATACTCGAATATCATCTGTTTCATTCCATTCGATTTTATCAAGAGTATCACCGAGAATAGTTATATAATAAATACAAGCTAAATCAATATTTCCAATTAAAACATGTGTAAATAATTCAAGAAACTAAGAGAAAAAAAATGAAACCTGGATTGAATATTATTTACAAAAATAAAAATAAAAATAAAACCTTAAATTCATGTTTATATGCAATTAATGAAGTGAATAAATCGTATACAGCATAATAAGTTATTTCATCAATTGTTGAATATCGTTTATTAAAAAATTCATAAATATCATCCTAAATCATAGTATATTAAAAAAAGAAAAATAAAGAATTGATTATATCTCATACCACAATATTTCCTGTTACAGTTAATAAATGACTATCACAATAACATTCATAAGCAATAATTTCTGTAATCAAGGTAAAAAGTCGTTCCTATTTATGAAAATTAGATTTATATTAATTTTTTCCTTTCGACTTACTAATGAAAATGGTCGTGGTACATGACGTTCTATATTTGTACGTTTTTTATAATCTGCCCATACTCGATCAAATGTATGAATCTTAAATGAAAAATAATTAAAAAATCTATTCTTATGTATAATTAAATCAACATACGAGAGGTCCAACATCCAATTGAATATCTGAGCCAGTTGCACGTCTTTGAGGTTCTTGATTAGTATTAAAATATCCAGGATAATTAGTTCGCATAATACTTGCAGTATTTTGTTGATATATAGGTGGAAGCATTTGATCAAATAGCGTTTGATTGTCAATCATTACACTTCTATATGAAATAAACAATTCTTTGTTTCATATTGATATGCATATACAGAGTGGCCCAAAAGTCATCAAACAGTTTTTAATAGAAACAAGAAAGATAGCTGCAATTCTCATCGTTGAAAAGAAGAGATGTGAAGGCATCGAACCATATAAGAAATATAATATTCATAACTTTTTTGGAGCGTTTTGAAAAATCAAGATTAAAGTAACTGGTGTACTCAGAATTTAAAGTACTATGAGAACTTCAAAAACTTCGATTTTCTAAGAATCTTGATTTTTCAAGGCCCTCTTTAAAATGTTTCTAAAGATTGTGTTTCTTATATGGTTCGATATAGCCCAAATCTCTTCTTTTCAACACTGAAAATCGCAGCTCTCTTTCTTCTTTCTGTCAAACATTATTCGAAAGCAAAAAAATGCCTGGTGAGCTTTGAACTACCCTGCATAATGATTCCACACGATAATGCTGTGACAATAGCAACATAAGCTTAAGAAAGAATCCTCTTATGTTCTAGTCAACATAGACAATCGTACAAGCTATAATCTGCGCAAAAGTTCGAAACGAATTTATATACATTTTCTGTCCTCAAAGGGTTAATTCTCTAATTATTACAGGTCGAATCTTGCAACGTTCTTCTTGGATTATTTTATTTTATCCTATTGTCAAAAGATAGGAATATCATAGAATCGATTTCAACCGATTAGAACATACCGAAAGTTCAAGTCTAATATAATATTCAAGATCAAATAATCGGAATAAGATTGGTACTAGTCTCTTAATCTCAGTGTACAATGATAAATTTATACTGAAATTACTAAATATACTATGAATTTACGATGAAGATCGATTATTTTCTATCGCATTGACCAGCGGCTGAAATTTTTCGAGAAATTTTGCAATGAAAAAGAGAAAAAACGATGGTAGAGAACTTATTGACAAGGAATTAAATGGTCACATCTTCAAAAATTGATTTGATAGGTCAGAAATTTTAAAAAAATCAAATATCTACGTTTGTGTCACGACGACCGATTGGGTTATATCTCTATTACAGCGTTATCAATGAATTTCCATTTTTGGAAATAAGATATTATCAAGAAACGAAGGCAAACTTATAATAATCCTATCAAAATTTCGATCGAAAAATCTTTTCAAAATGACTAATACATCTAAATCTATATTTACTTAATGAGTGCTTCATTATATTTCAATGTTGGACGAGAAATTCGAATATATTTTGTACCATCTGGTACTTGAACAATTACTTGAGCTTCAGCAAATTTATGTGGACACAAATAAGTCTAAAAAAGATGATTAAAAAATTTTAACAAAAAAAATCTAATTTTAAATAAATACTTTATCAGCACAGCTATCACAATAGGAAGCTAAATCAAAATCTGTCCATGCTCGTCCATTATTTGATGATGCAAGCATATAAGAAAAACGAGAAAGAACACGTTCTTGTGGTGCATATCCAATAAGATCACTTTTACGACCAGCTGATTCAAATGCATGTTCAAGACCATGTAAAGGATTAGATATTTTTCCTAGAATTAAAAATACATAAAATTTTATCGAATAAATATTTGTTTCAATTTAACCTGCCAATTGTGCGGCTTCATTTGCTGCAAATATTGTTTTTACTTTACGATTTCTGAAACGAATACAAAAAAAATTTAATTAAATAAAAAACAATGAAATTTTATTTGTTTTACTTAAGTTCTTCATTTTCTTTAATAACAATCATTTCTAATTTTTCTTCTAAACCACGTCTATGACGTTGTGTTATATCAAGTTCTTCTCGAATTTCTTTTATTGTTTGTCCATATCGTAATTTTTCAGCTGTAATCTAAATTAATTAAAAAACAAATTTTTTTCTTTTTTTGTTTTTTTCAATAATTTTTGTTTACATTATTCCGAATAAAATGACATTCAGATGGAAATTGTTGAGTTTGAAGTAATTTTGTATGTTCATCATCCAATATTTGATCATATTCTATTAGAAAAATAAAAAATTCATATGTTGAAAAACATTGAAATGAATTCATTTGTAACCTTCAGTTGTCATATTAAGTAATGTTAACATTTGATCTTCTAATCGTAGAGCTACTTGAATATCCAACATTGTTTGATTCTAAGAAATATTTTATTTCGATTATTTTCTTTTTTTTTTGTTTGAGAATTTTCATAAATACTTTAACATCAACATATGGTTCATCTGGATTTTCTGTTTGATTGGTTCGTTTTTTTGCAGGTTGTGCTCGAGTTAAATTATCCGCAAAAGCTAAAATGAATTAACAAACACAATTAATACAAATATAAGATAGCACGAAGAAGAAAATTCTTTTGTTTCTACTAGAGACATGTCCGAATGCCGTCAGTTCTGAACTCATGGAACTCTCAAAAGTACAACTTCACTCACGGCAGTCTCGAAGCTGAAATAATCCTAATAATTCAAGAATTTGTTGAAATTTAGATAACAGACTAACCCTAGTATTTCAAATGAAATTGACTTCATCAAGCTTTGCTTACCCATAAAGTTTAAACAATTGCAGTGGTGTTTTACATCCAGAAATTCAGAATACCAGAAATGGCATGAGAGATAACAAATATACGGTACAAGCTTATCAGTAGATATTCAAATATGAGTGTAGATGTAGAGAGAACCGAAATTCACACCATATACCTACGCCCACATTCATATTCTTATGAGAGTTCCAAAAGTTCAGAACTCACGAAATTCGGCTACTGCTAAAATTTTAAATATGTCTATTGTCCAGAAATCTCATAGGATCTCAGATATTCAGGAAACTCGTATTTTCGATTTTTGTCATAAAACCGCCTCCGTTTAAAGATCGTACATACACTATATTATATAAAGAGTTGCAGAATTTTTGAGACTTAGTATCTCTGAAATACGAACTTTTCCAGACACCTTTGTGTTGTTCAAAACTCATAGCTTGAAGACACTAAGTCTAACGATTCTGTAACCCTTTATATACTGTAGCATGTGTGAAGCATTCAACTGGAAACAGTTTTAATTGAAAATTCGAAAATATAATTTTGCCAAAAACCTGAAGAGCTACAGGAATCTCTGTAAAGCTGACATATTCTTTTCTTACCTTCTTGCATTTCATCATAACCTTGTTTATATTTTGATAATTCATCTACTAATGCTTCAGTAGCTGCTTGATTTTCCTATAATGTAAACCAATTAATTTACAATTTCTCTTTATTCATATATATATAAACTTCAACTAACTATTATTTCTTTCACTTGCAACCGTGTTTTATTAATTTCTTGTTCACTATTAAAACGAATTCGTTCACATTCTTCTCTTAAACTAAATAGTTTAAAAAATTAAATACATCTATCTGACTTATTCTTCTTTTTTTCTGTAAATACTTTTGTATTTCATTATCTTTTTCATTTAATGTCTTTCTCAAAGTTGCTAATTCATCCATTAATTTTTGTTTAGCATTATCTATTTGTTCAAGTTTTTCACGTGCTTGATTTAAATCACGATTTTTTCCAGCCAAACTATATATTAAATAAATCGATAGTATTTATTTTTATTTATCCTTTTTTTTTTCATGTTACTTTGTTTCCATATCAGCTGTCCTATTTTCATATGCATTTAATTGTTCATGATGTTGATCAATAAGTCGATTACAAAGAACTTTATAAGATAATCGTTCAATACAAGCAATACGTTTACGTTTTTTCAATGTTTTATTATGACATTGTTCAACGGTAAATTGATTACTATAGATAAAATCTATTAAGAAATAAAATTAATTGAAATGAAGAAAGATTTTTTTTGTTTGATTTTTATACCGAAAAGTTCATTACGAAGTTTGGATGTAATAGGAGAAAAGACACCTAATTGAGGAATAATTTGATCAAGTGCATTGAATACAAGAACCATACGTTCATCATCATGTCCATTTTGATCAATTTCTTTCATTGCAATATCAAGAGCAAGTGCTGAATATGAAAAAGATAATTTTTGTTTTTTTATAAATAAATAAAAGAAATTTAACATACTTGGTGATAATTGATCAATCAGATCTGTACTTGAATTGGTAGTCATTATCTCTAACAAGAAAAAAAACTATTTTAATAGATCTTTCAAAAACTAGGGTTATCAAATCGATATTTTCGAAGCCAGGGGTTTTTTAAGTCAAGAGAAAAATCAGGAGATTTTTTTTATCGAAAATCAACAAGTATTCAATGGTGGTTTCTAGAGGCAAGCTGGCATTTTCATTCACAGAAGAAAAAGATTATAGTAAAATTTACTGATCAGCGATATTAAAAAAAAGAAATATAATCACAGCTATTTTATATTATTAATTTTTTCATATTCCTTCATGAAAATAGATAAAATAAGCATTTAGAAATAATACCTTATTTCCTGTACCATACGTGGCACTTTTACAACATGAGAGTATTTTTCTGATGACCGGACTTGTTTCAACAAATCTAGTTTATGTAAGAGATGTTCAGAAAATTCCATACAATAGAGCTCTTCGGGTTGACTCGGACCCGACCAAGTCCAGGTCTGAAAATTTCGAACCCAGATGGGCTCTACTGTGCAATTAAAATAAGTGCTGATCTTAATTCTTAATTCAGCGTAAATAAAATCATTTTTCATTTTGTTTCGATCATTATTTCACAAATATTTTATATGGCTAGCAATAGATGCGTAAAAGATATTTGAAGCAAGTATAGAAAAGTAAATTGCACTAGCTTTTATAAGTGAAGTCAATTTTTATTGTTAACAAGATAAGCTCACAACTGCTTGCATTTGATAAACAGATGTTTCTTCTGTTCTTTGTAGAATCTAATATAACATTGTGATGTTAGATCGTTTCTCTTGTTGGTTAAATATGTCGCTAAGAGTCTAGATGAAAGACAAACAGAAGAAACTAGAAGATTTTTTCACTAAAAGAAAGACTCAAAAACTAGGATTCTTTTGAGTAGATCAGAACGTTTGGTAATTCTATTGAAAATGTTTCTTCGTTTTTGATTATTATAGATCATAACCGCCATTTTTAATAATGATACTATAGATCGACCTCTACGAAGATTTTCATATCACTTCCAAGTAAAAAAAACACGACGAATATAAATCTACTTTGAAATTTAACTGATTTTTTTGTAAATTTTATTATAAATATGTTATCACTTTCTGATTTAATTCAATTGATCGAAAAATGATTCATTAATGGGAGTGGCCATGATTACAGTTCCTTATATGTTTTTTCTTTACTATTTACTTGTACTATTGCGACCTATTAAAACTTTATATTGAACATATTTTTTAAATTAAAATGGCTTCTCATATTGCTCGTCGTTTAATTATATTGGGTGCACCTGGATCTGGTAAAGGTACAATTGCTAGCCGAATTGTAAAAACATACGGTATGCCTCATATTGTTGTTGGCGATTTACTTCGCCAACATATTCAACGAAAATCTGGTAAGTTCTTTGTTTTTTGTTTTTTGCAAACTATTTTATCTAATTACTTTTCTTTTTGTCTATTTAAAGAGGAAAGTAAAACAATCAAAGATCACATTGATAAAGGTCTTCTTTTACCAGATGATCTTGTATTAAAATTTGTTGCTGGTGAACTTAAAAAACTTCGTGATAAAGGATTTTTACTTGATGGTAAAGTTAATTAAATCAATGAAAAAATATATTAACTCATATTGTTTGATTTACGTTATATAGGTTATCCACGAACATTAAATCAAGCAAAATTATTACATAAAGAAATGACTATTGATCATGTTGTTGCACTTAATGTACCAGCTGATGAAATAGTTAATCGTTTAAAAGATAGATGGGTTCATGCATCTAGTGGACGTGTTTACAATTTACTATGGAATCCACCTAAAGTTGCTGTAAGTCTAATTAAATAAAATTAATTCTTCTATTCAATTCTATTTTTCTTTCCTAGGGTAAAGATGATACAACAGGTGAACCATTAACACAACGTGATGATGATAAACCTGAAGTTATTCGTAGTCGATTGGATACATATGATAAAAATACAAATCCAATAGCGGATTTCTATAGGTAAAGTTTGAAAAAAACAAAGATTTTTTCGAATAAATTTCTTATGTTTTTTTTTCTTCTATAGACAACAACATATTCTCCAAGAATTTCATGGACGTGAAAGTGATAAAATCTGGCCTGAAGTTAAAAAATATCTTGATCGTGTTCTTAATGAACCAATAACACGAAAACAAGGTGCCTGATAAAACAAAAAACAAGAATTATACAATGTAATATCCAACATATCTCCTTTTACAGCGATTTTTCTTTCATGCGAACTTTATGATCCCATTTTTTTTTCTATATAGGTTTAGTGTTTATTTTTGAATGTGACTCGTGCTTTGGTCTGTTTTTTTCGTTTATAAAAATACATATCTGCATGATGATTCTATACTAAGGAAAAAAAGTAGTTTATATAAATAAAAAGGAAAAAGAAACAAACATGAAAATTATCATTCTATTATCATATAAAAGTGAATAATCAAATTTCATCTTTGCTATTTCGTATTATCAAGGTCATTTATTCATATATAGAATTTTTTTTGCACATTCTTTCTTATATACATATAAAAAGATAAAGAACAAGGGTATGAAATATGTATTATGATAGCACATTTTTTAGTTATAAAAATAATTCATTTGAAAAAGAAAATATCTTTCTTACATAACTGCACGTATATATATATAAGATTATTTTTGTACTTTGCAAAGCCAGAAACATTTATTAGTGAAAAAAATATTCTCAAACGAAGACACATACATTTTCATATGGATAGAACAGATTCTTATATTATTGCAACAACATCAAATATGACATCGATTGAAGCACGTGATCGATTACATGCAATAATGACAAATGATATGGCTGAAGCTATTGAACAAATTGGTCAAACATTAGAAGCATGTAATATGAAAAAAGCTCGATTACTTGAACAACTTAATGAAGTTTCGAAAGCAGTTGAAATAGTTCGAAATGAATGTGGATGTATTGATACAACTATAGCGTTAGTAAAGAATTAATATAATCGATAAGTTTATTTCAATTTTATTTTTTCTTTATAGAAGTAAAGTTCTTAATTTAAATAAATTAACTACACAAATTGTTCAACAAATGGCTCTTGTCAATATTCCCGATCCACCACCACCACCTGAACCATTTCCACCACCAATAGTTGAAATTGATCTATCTGCTGTTCATGATCGATTGAATGGTCTTGATCATATGGTTGGTGATTTAACTAAACTTATTCTTGAAAAAGAAGAAACTGTTTTGTATGTTATTAATAAACGATCAGGTCATGGAGAGATTACAGCAAGTGCTCATTCACCAATACGATCAGGAGGTTTATTTATTCATTTATTTTATTAAATTATATAGATTTTATAAGAATATTATCTATTTAGATATACGACATGAACGAGAGGAACAAATTCATGATGAAATGACAAAACTTCAAACATTAGTACGAAGTATACAAAATGAAGATCAAAATCATTCAAAAGAAATTCATCAACATAAAACTCATCTTCGTCATCATCATCGATCAAGACAATTACCTCATACACTTCCACCATTTGACGATGAAGAAAATAGTAGTCATACTAATGAACAACGAAATAATAATCAAAATAATAATAATATTGTTTATAATGATGATTATGAGGAAGAAGAAACATCACATGATTCAGAACAAACAACTGTAGGTCCATGTACATTATGTTTACAAGAACGAACAGAAGATCTTACAACTAAACGATCTAACGATCGTCGTTCAATTACAAGTAGTAATTATACAGATCGTTCTATTAGTTTACCTGCTACATCTCGTGATGGTAGTGCAATTAATAATCATAGATTAGGTGAAGCATTAGCTTCAAATGGTAAAGAAATAATCTATTATGATTATGAACGAGAAATGATTTGTATGGTAAATACTGATGACTATTCAATAAAATTTCATCATGGTTTAGTTGTTGATTTATATTGGTGGCCATTAAATAATCAATGGTTAATATTAAGTGAACAAGGTTTATATCGATGGAAACCAGATGAAAATGAATATTATGATGCATATGAATTTTCCAATGGTGAAATTGGTTTTCGACGTATAGCTGTAACAAGTACAAGTATATTTTGTTTATTTCGATATAGTCTTATGTTACTTGAATTATCAAATGCAATGCAAATGAAACGTCTACATGCACTTGCACCACCTGAAGCACGTTATCGAAAATTAGCTGATATATCTGTTAGAAAAATGATACGATCTGATGGTAGTGAAGAAGATATATTAGGTATAGAAAAACTAAAACAAAAAAAAATACATATATATATATATTCCTATTTTTTTTTAATAGGTTTAATTTGGTTTGGTAGTGGATCAGGTATACTTCTTGAAGAACGACATGTTACACTTCAAGAAAATAATATGCATGGACGTTTATTTCGTCATGTACCAATTCAACAAGGTCGTTATGCACGTTTAGCTTCATACGAAGATGGTCGAGCTTGGTTAATAAGTAATGCTGGTGCAAATGTTTTCTGGATTGTTGATAATACTAATATATCTGTTGGACAATGGGAAGCATCAGCTACATGGGTTACGGTTAACGCTGGTATACCAATTAATGCTGTTGGCTTTACAGATTCAATGGTTTGCGTTCGTCTTCAAGATGGAAAATTAGAATTTCTTGAATCTGAACATTAATAAAAAAAATTATTCTTTTCTTTTCATTTGTTTTTCTCTATCATGTATTATCTTTTCTTCGTTTTGTTTTTTTTTTTTCTTAAACAAAATTCAATGAGGTCACAATATAGATAAATTCGATTCTATTCTTCCTCCTTCGTGCATTATAAAATTTAATATGTTCTCTTTCTCTTCTTTTTTTTTTTTTTCTTTTCACAAACAAATTGCAGTACGTTGTTTCGCATGTCGTCACATTTGGACGAACGCACGGATAACACGTCGAAAAAGGAAAATTTCGGGAATAATACGAATGAGAAAAGACGAAGAGAAAAAAAAAACAAACGAA